CTCTAACCAGGCAGCTAGTAAGCGCTGGGCTAACTGTCCAGCTAGCTAGCTAGCTTGCTAGCTAGCTGGCTAGCTAGCTAGCTAGCAAGCTAGCTAGCTAGCTGGGCAGTTGCTAGCTAGCTAGCTAGCTAGCTAGCTGGACAGTTAGCCCAGCGCTTACTAGCTAGTTAGATAGCTAGCTAGCTAGCTGGAGAGCTAGCCGAGCACTTATTAAGGTGGCTTGGTAGCTAGCTAGCCAGCTAGCTAGCTAGCTAGCTAGCTAGCCATCTGGTCGGCTAGCTAGCCAGTTAGCTAGCTGGCCGCGCTGCCTCCAACCTGTCTCTGTTGTCATCTCCGAGGGAACTGTTTCTCCGCTGCAGCCCAAACCCTAAACCCTAAACCCCAAACCCCAAACCCTCTGGGCCAGGCAGGCCCTGAGGGTTTCTGTGGGCTGCTTAGAGAGAAATAAGGGTTTAGGGTTTAGGGTTTAGACGTTCAGCCGCAGTGGTTCGTCGCTGCTGACTCCTCGGGGCAGCTCCCACACCCCAAACCCTAAACCCTAAACCCTAGAAAGGGGTTTGCCGGGCCTGTCTGCTTCTGTGCAGCATGAGAGCCTCGTCTCTCTCCGCCCTTTTTGCTGCTGCTGCTGCAGCTTTTTTAATTTGCTTTTTATTGAGAGATTCGATGAAGGGGTTAAAACCCCCGAACGAACGCCTGCGCACAAACCCTAAACCCTAAACCCTAAACCCTAAACCCTGAAGGAGCCAGCAGCGGCTCACAGAAAACAGACGCAGAAGGCGCCGTGAGCTGTAGGCCCCAAACCCTAAACCCTAAACCCTAAACCCTAAACACTAACCTGAAGAGAAGGAGCTCGTACTGGGGGTTTGCGTCTGCGGCTTCTTGCTGCTGCTGCTGCTGCTGCTGCTCGTATATTGCTTCTGCCTGCTCCCAGCCAGGGGCGAACCAGCCCTTTCCCTTTGCTGCTGCTGCTGCTGCTGCTGCTGCTGCTGCTGGTTTGCTGCTTTGCTGCGCTGACATAAAGCGCAAGCGCCTCACATTTTCAGACAACACCTTCCCGTCCTGCATTTTCAAACCCTAAATCCTAAACCCTAAACCCTAAACCCTAAACCCTTGACTAGAGATCTTGGGGACTCCAGTGGCATTCTTGCCAGGAGGTAGGAAACAGAATAATGGCGAGGCTCAGAAAAGTCTAAACCCTAAACCCTAAACCGTAAACCGTAAATGCTAAACCCTAAACACTAAACCCTTATTTGCGGGAACCGCGAAGGCAAGGCCTCGCCTTCTACCGAGGCATTGCCGCTGCATGCACGGGGCCCCAGGCGGCAGCCAAACCCTAAACCCTAAACCCTAAACCCTAAACCCTGACCGCCAAACCCTAAAATTAAAACCCTAAACCCTAAACCATAAACCCTGATTATTGTGACTAGTAAATCTTCCTGCGTGGAAATAAAGTGGCAAGCGCAGACCACTTAGTACCCGTGTTTGTGGCTTTGACCCTTGGCGACTGCTGCGCTCTGGGGTTTAGGGTTTAGGGTTTAGGGTTTGGGGGCGAGGGTTTAGGGTTTAGGGTTTGCTGGCGATGCCGACGCAGAGCAACGAAGTAAACCTCTCCATAGAGGAGACGAATGCGCTCAGAGCCAAGTTGGGGCTGAAGCCCCTGCGGCTCGACAACAAGGTAAACCCTAAACCCTAAACCCTAAATCCTAAACCCTAAACCCTAGACCCTAAACTTTAGGTCCTTGTTAACCCTAAACCCTAGGCTCTCTGCCACTGGAGGCTGGGGACAAAGCACTGGCTTAGGGTGACCCATAAACTATTGTCTCTTCTTTGCAGGACAAAAGGGACAGCAGCAGCAGCAGCAGTAGCAGCAGCAGCAGCAGCAAGAGATCAAGGGGAGACGATGGGGCTGCTGCGCCCTCTTCAGGGTCAGCAGCAGCAGCTGCTGCTGCTGCTCCCGCAGCAGCAGCGGAGGAGGCCCCTGCAGCTAAAGTGGCGAAGCCGGCGACAGAATCTGATGCTGCTGCTGCTGCAGCAGCAGCAGCAGCAGCAAGAGAGAGAAAGGAAGAGGCAGAGAGACAAAAGAGACGCGTGGCGCACGCGCTGCTGATCTCAGGAGACAGTATTGCTGCAGCAGCAGCAGCAGCAGACTCCGACATTCTAGACCCTCTTGCTTGGGTCTCCAAAATGAGAAAAGAAAAGAAGGAGCAGCAGGCCCTAGCAGCACAAGGACGCGGTCAGTGCCTCTTGCTGCTGCTGCTGCTGCTGCTGCTGCTGGTGTTGTTGTTCAGCAAGTTGTGCTGCTGCTGTGACCGCTGCTGTGGTTGCTGCTGCGGCTGCTGCACTTCGGAGACAGGCTGCGCGCCGCAGCTCTCCGAGCTGTGTCTCTGCCTCAACCCTAGCAGCAGCAGCAGCAGCAACAGCAGCAGCAGCAGCAGCAGCAGTTGCGTGTGCTGCTTGTGCAGTGGACCGCGTGCGCTACGACGACGAGTCGGACTCTGAGGGGGAGAGTGGGTCTGCTGCAGCAGCAGCAGCAGCGGCGGAGGCAGCAGCGCAGGAAGAAGCAGCAGCAGCAGCAGCAGCAGCAGCACGCGTGGCCCACAACCCCGCAGACCTGCCCGAAGGAGAGACACTTGTCTTGACTCTTCAAGACGCGCAAATTCTTGCTGCTGATGGGTCTCTAAACGAAGCAGGAGACGTTTTGGAGTCTCTGCTGCTGCAGGAGCAGCAGCAGCAGCAGCAGAAGCAGAAGCGGCT